ATTTGACCAAATTTGAAGTTTTTGGCATTTCTAAATTTCGAGCTCTACACACAGACACACACACACACAAAAATGTGTGCGAATGAGCCGATCAAGGGTTTGTCGTGAGACAGAGATATTTTCATCAATGGGTGCGTAAATTTGGGCGACGGTGGGCTTGCGGCTTGCGTAAGGCACACATGTGTGAACAGGCAACGAAAACAGGTGAACCGCACTTGCCGCTCGTTTGCACTTTGATATGGAAAAAATGCAAGTGATCTTTTTATTTATTTTTTGACATAGTAAACATTTTGGGTTAAAGGGTGTTATGGCAGGCAATAAACGATCAGAATGTCCAGCATGCGTCTGCATCCATTTGTCCATTTGTTCACACATGTGTGCCTTACGCAAGCCGCAAGCCCACCGTCGCCCAAATTTACGCACCCATTGATGAAAATATCTCTGTCTCACGACAAACCCTTGATCGGCTCATTCGCACACATTTTTGTGTGTGTGTGTGTCTGTGTGTAGAGCTCGAAATTTAGAAATGCCAAAAACTTCAAATTTGGTCAAATTTGCATCGGGCAGGCAGGCAGGCAACCAACACGCACACAAACGCATAAATGCTTCCATCCATATAGAAAAGTGTGTAAGTATGTGTGCTTGGCAGGCCCAAAAAGTTATTATGCACACATGCCAACGTTCAGGTACCCTTACCCTTACAACAAGCATGGAAAATAGGAGATTTGCACATGAACAGGCCAAACCCTTTAATAATGTCACACAACTGCTTACTCGAAAGAGTGTGCGTGTGCACAAGTAGCAAGTCGAAAAAATTGAAAATTTTCAATGTTTGGTCTTTTCTTAAATTATTCGACAAGCCGACGAAGCATTACCCTTGCAGAAATACGACTTATTTTTTTTTTAATTTTAAGCAAAATTGGTCCCCACAGTTAACAAAAAAATTAATATATAATATATAAATATATCATTTAGGTCATTTAAGTTTATAATGAATATAAATATATCAGATTCTTCTCATTATGCCTGACTGGACGAAGAAATACATGATAGAGCATTTGAATGTGTGTGCCTTTTGCCACCACAGGCACAAAGGGCACACAATTGAAGAAAAAATCTCTGGCTCGCGACAAACGCCGCGATCTACTTGTGAGCACACCCACACAACATAAACATATGTATGTATGTTTGTAGATCTCGGGGTTTTTGAGAAGCTATGCAGGGAGAAGGAGATGCACACAAGTGCGCAAAGCAATAAGTGTGAGCGAGGGGCACTCTGCACACGCATATACACATATGTATGTATTTGGGCTGAAAAGATACATATATTACAAAACAGCATCAGCCACAGCAACGTTGTGCGCTGAGCGGGATGCGGCTTCATACTGAACGTTCGGCTGTCGAGGCCGGCGTTCGGCTGCCACTCTCAGCAGTCTTACTTTGTCTGGGCACACTAAAATGGTCGCGGTCACCCATGGGGCTCAGTCGTTGACGATTTATCGGTATCCGATTATTTTGACATTTGACAAGTCTATGCATTGTATGGTTAGTGGTAAAGCTGAATCAGCCTTACAACTGGAAGAAACGTCTAAGCCCATAACATCATTATTGCAGAAACTCATCACTAAAAGTAAAGTATTACAAAATCAAATGTTGAAACCGAATAAATCAAATTCTGGAATCAAGTGACAGCTAGATACTTCACATGTTAGATCATTAATGAGAATGATTATGATGATTTTACTGATGCTAACACGAAAATCAATAAATCGGTAACCATGATAATGCTAATGATGATGATATTAATGATAATACAGTTAATCAACTCTTCTCTCAATCTAATGTTGGGGTTGAAAATATGTTGAATCTAAATGAGTTTGCTAGAAAAAAGATACTTGATAAAGCCTATGGACCATATAAAGATTTAAATGGTGAATCGAGGTAATGAAATTCTAAAATGCATTTATCAAAACAAAAATTAAGCCTAGGCAGTGGCGAATCATGGGATCTCACTACAGTCTTGTATTTATCAATTTATGAAAATACTCCTCAGAATTATAATGAACTAGACCTGGAAAATTATAAATATATTCTAATGAAACCTTCTGCGCACAGAAAGCATGGTGATGATGGACTGATGGACTTAAAGGAAATCGTTCAAGAAAATATTTAACTATAATCAAAAATTATCTCAATAAGGTCTTTTTCATAAAACAGCACATCCAAATAAACCAAACTATATTTATTGCGATGATTCCAATGAAATTGTTAATAGATTAAAGCTTTTAATTGCTTCACAAGCAGCTGGACATAGCAATCATATTTTTGAATAAATTTATTATAAGGAAAAAATATTTGTTTTAACTTGCATTATTAAAATGAGTACCGACAAGTTTGGGCATAACTGCTAAACTACCAAGAGAGACAGTCGAACATAAATTTTATGTTCAAAATATAGTACACAAACCAAAAGAGGATTTAAAGCTTCTCATATATAATAAAGTTGATGCAGTAGATAAATCTATAAACAAATATTTAAATAGAGCTAATATAAAAATTCTAAGACAAGAGAGTGATATAAATTTATGTAATAATAAGATGTTTGGAAAACATGGAGAGAATAATATTAGTTTTGAGAAAATTTTACAAGAATCAATAAAGCATTTATTTAAGTATATCAATAGGGAAAATTATGAATTGAGAGAATTCATTATTAAATAACTATTATAAATCTAATAAATATTCAATGATTTAGTGTTTCACAACATGTCAGTTGATAAGTTTTGCCACTTTTCAAGTACAAAATACAATAGGAGAATTTAAAGAAAAAGGGAACAACATTTTTTGGGCTGTTTGTAGATAACTATCAAAACATTGATTCTAGAGTAAAAGGATGCACATACGATATAAAATAAGTAAATTTTAATCCGATGCATAATAGCACTGTTGTATGGCGTTACTCATCTTAGCATTTACATATATGGTCTTTGGTGTATGTATGCATGAGCAGAGTGTATCTCACGCCCACTCGTTGTTTCGTGTACTTTGGGCATCTCGTTCTTATACCCTGAACCCATTAAAAATGGGTAAACAGGCTATGTCGATCAAGGGCTTGTCGTGAGACAGAGAGATTGTTATCAATGGGTGCGTAAATTTGGGCGACGGTGGGCTTGCGGCCGCGTAAGGCACACATGTGTGAACAGGCAACGAAAACAGGTGAACCGCATTTACCGCTCGTTTGCACTTTGATATGGAAAAAATGCAAGTGATCTTTTAATGTATTTTTCGACATTGTAAACATTTTGGGTTAAAGGGTGTTATGGCAGGCAATAAAGGATCAGAATGTGCAGCATGCGTCTGCATCCATATCAAAGTGCAAACGAGCGGTAAGTGCGGTTCACCTGTTTTCGTTGCCTGTTCACACATGTGTGCCTTACGCGGCCGCAAGCCCACCGTCGCCCAAATTTACGCACCCATTGATAACAATCTCTCTGTCTCACGACAAACCCTTGATCGGCTCATTCGCCCACATTTTTGTGTGTGTGTGTGTCTGTGTGTAGAGCTCGAAATTCAGAAATGCCAAAAACTTAAAATTTGGTCAAATTTGCATCGGGCAGGCAGACAGGCAACCAACACGCACACAAACGCATAAATGCTTCCATCCATATAGAAAAGTGTGTAAGTGTGTGTTCTTGGCAGGCCCAAAAAGTAATTATGCTCACATGCCAACGTTCAGGTACCCTTACCCTTACAACATGCATGGAAAATAGGAGTTTGCATATGAACAGGCCAAACCCTTTAATAATATCACCCAACTGCTTACTAGAAAGAGTGTGCGTGGGCACAAGTAGCAAGTCGAAAAAAATGAACATTTTCAATTTTTGGTCTTTTCTTAAATTATTCGACAAGCCGACGAAGAATTACCCTTGCAGAAATACGACATAGTTTTTTTTTTTAATTTTAAGCAAAATTGGTCCCCACAATAAACAAAAAATTAAAATATAATATATAAATATACCATTTAGGTCATTTAAGTTTTTAATAAATATAACTATATCAGATTCTTCTCATTATGCCTGACTGGACGAAGAAATACATAATAGAGCATTTGAATGTGTGTGCCTTTTGCCACCACAGACACAAAGGGCAGACAATTGAAGAAAAAATCTCTGGCTCGCGACAAACGCCGTGATCTACTTGTGCGCACATCCACACAACACAAACATTTGTATGCTTGTAGATCTCGGCGTTTTTGAGAAGCTATGCAGGGAGAAGGAGATGCACACAAGTGCGCAAAGCAATAAATGTGAGCGAGGCACACTCTGCACACGCATATACATATATGTATGTATTTGGGCTGAAAAGAGTTAATACTAACATACATATATTACGAAACAGCATCAGCCGCAGCAACGTTGTGCGCTGAGCGAGATGCGGCTTCATACTGAACGTTCGGCTTTCGAGGCCGGCGTTCGGCTGCCACTCTCAGCAGTCTTACTTTGTCTGGGCACACTAAAATGGTTGCGGACACCCATGGGGCTCAGTCGTTGACGTTTTATCGGTATCCGATTATTCCGCTGTTTGACAAGTCTATGCATTGTATGGTCAGTGTTTATATGCAATTAGATGTACTGTCGAAAATTTCATTAAGGTCGGTTAAGAAACACAAACGGTATGTGCGCACCTGTTAGCAGCATAGCTGTTGCGCAAATTCCTAGAATTTCTGTATACATGTACACACACACACATTCATGCGTGAATGTATCCCCTTTTCGGTACCCCCGATTATAGCCTATAACTTGTTATTTAATAAAAACTTGAATGAGAAAAAGGGTCCACTTTTTTTTGCCAATTTACTACTATATTTATTGTGTGCTTAGAAGTAATATGCACAAATGGAAATTACAAACGTGTTTAGAACATTTGCTTTATGGCGCTCACGCTACTTATGTAGTTTCAACATTAGAAAGTTAACCTAATATTATTATTTTTTTATTAAGGCTAGGACGCATTTGGCTAATATTTATCTGCATCACCAAAAAAATCGGAGTGCATTCTCGAAGTGCTTTAAGGAATTAGTTGAAGTTCGACCGGAATCCAGAAGTTATTTTATGTTAGGGGAGGCGCATCTGTCAATCCAAGGTCGACCATAAATATTTTATAATGTTACTAAATAACTTACTTGGTTTTCTTTTGTAGAGACAGACATGGCAATAGAAGTATTCCGAAAAGCCTGCAGTATTTTTCCATCTAATGCATTCCTGGCTAGAGAACTTGGCAGGTCCTACGTCAAAAGTCATCAGTATGCCAATGCTCTAAAGTACTACCATGCAGTAATAAAAAATCCTGGGTGTTCTGCTTTAAAATTGGATTTGGCAGAGTTATTGTTGCAACTAAAACAATTTCAAAACGGAGCAAATTTACTAGTTGGTGGCGATTGTTGCAGCATGTAATATAAGCTCCCTCAAATTAGGTATTAAACTGATTAACCAAATTAAACTCAAATTCTTCTTCTAGAAATGAGGACAGTCTTACAGAACTGCAATTAAAAATAAAGATGCTGTTGCTACTGGCTCGCATTCATGAAAAGTCTGGGAATATTCCGGAATCGCTTAAAATATTACAAGACGCACGAGATAATCAATATCGATTGCATAAGCTTTGTGCTATTGGCAATTTAGAAAACCTTCACGAGCAGTCAAAAATGTTGTCAAAGTAAGTATGAATATACACTGTACAAAATATGATAAATAAACAAGTAACAGGTCCCTCTTCTTCCAACAGGCGATTGGTGACTCTAGCTCATATTATTTACCAAAATTACTCAAAAAACAGGATTTCGATATCGATTTTTATCGATTACTTGGAGACGGGGAATTTTATCGAATATCGGAAAGTCTCTAGCTCTTATAGGTTTTGAGATCCTTGCGTTCATACATACGAACAGACGGACGGACAGATCTACGCGGCTATTGATGCTGATCAAGAATATATATACTTTATGGGGTCGGAGATGCTTCCTTCTGCCTGTTAAATACATTTCCACAAATACATTATACCCTCTTTACCCATTTTTAATCGGTTCAGGGTATAAAAAGGGTATACCGGTTTTGAGCAAATTTATGCAACATGCCGACCCCGTAGTGTTTTAACCTATTTGTTGATTGATAATTATAAAAAAATATTTTATTAATTATTTAGCAGCACTATGCTTACAATGAGTTGCAAATACAAACTAAACTTAATGTCGAAATTATAAACTAATATAATAACTTATAATAAGCGAACTCTATTGGGTCCGCTAATTTCACAATTACATATGTTCTAGCAAGAGCGTTGACCCCGTAGACACCTAAGTTGCATACACAACATCTTTATGTCAGTGTTTCCCTGCACGTCGACTTGCCACTTGCGCGAACCAAATGTATGAAGGCTGATTATCTAATTGGTTGGTATATTTGGTAACTTGGGTGTTAATTCTTCCCTCTCTAAACTCGAACGTCCTGGTCAATTATTAAAAGCCAGATAGATCATTGATGCTTCAAAATTTGTTGTGCTTTTTTCCGGGGAGCTTCTGTTTCACCAACCTTGGCTGGGCGCTGTTCGTTGTAATTGGGGGTAGCTGTTACCCCAACAATAGTAGTTTGCCTAGTAGTTTGCCTGCACAGCGTTAGTTTTATTATATAGGCAATGAAAACCAATAGTATTCCGGATTACTGATTACTTACTTACTGATTTCATTAATATTTTACATTGGTCGTTAGTAGCCAAAACTGAATTTTTACATTTTATACAGACATTTCCTGGTTTTTAAATGCTTTAAACGTGTTTCCAAATTTCTTTATCAGATTTTGAAATGACAATAGCTTTGCTCAGTTTGTCGCCATTAAATGCGATTTTAATATTTGCAAAATTTAACGCTTCTTCTATATTGTTAAATGGTATATTTTCTTTTATACAAATTTTGCTTATAACTTTAGTTTCTTCTTCGGATATTATAATAGTATTATTAGTACTACTACTAGTATTTAGCCATTGACAAATTTCAATTGCAAGAATATTTAGAATATTGTCTGAACTTTGAATGCTTTGATTATTACATTGTTATCTTGTTTATTCTTTCTATAATGCCTTTATTTATTTCAACTGGTTCGTTATTGTTTTTATACCCTGAATCCATTCAAAATGGGTAAACAGGGTATAATGTATTTGTGCAAATGTATGCAACAGGCAGAAGGAAGCTTTTCCGACCCTATAAAGTGTATAAATTCTTGATCAGCATCAATAGCCGAGTCGATCTAGCCATGTCCGTCTGTCTGTCCGTCCGTGTGTTCGTCCGTCCGTCGGTCCGTCTGTTCGTATGTATGAACGCAAGGAACCTATAAGAGCTAGAAAAATTTAAGCTGTTGGTCCTCCTAGTCCCCGCGCAGATCGTTTGTTTCCGATATTCGATAACTTGTCCCGTGTTCAAGTACTCGGTAAAAATCGATATCGAAATCCTGTTTTTTGAGCAATTTCGGCAAATAATATGAGCTAGAGTCACCAAACTTGACATGTAGCTTCAAGAATAGTATATACATCTTTATCAAGTATCTTTCATTTAATACCTATCGCCACCTCCCCGCTACCACCAAAAAGCTACAAATCAAGTTAATTATCTAACTTATATTGCCCATTAATTTAAGCCACAATTTATATGCAATTGACTTTTTGATAATACACAAATATTCTATATTCTATTCTACAATAAGATGTACTATCGCAAATTTCAGTAAGATCGGTTAAGGAACACAAAGGTTATGTGCGCACGTGTTAACAGCAGCTAGCGCAAATTCCAAGAATTTCTGTGTACATGTACACACACGCTCGTCTGCTTTGAATTCTATCAGCAGCATTGCAATTGCGATTGTATTGTTTTCTGTGCTGCTATTTTAATTGGTTTTTTTCTCATTAAAGTTCAATTATTGGTGTGTGCCAAGGGAACAATTTTTTTTTTTTATGTTAATTTTTCTTTATTACTACTAAAGCAAACGAGCGCGTAACGCGAGCTGCATTTGGTGTTGGAAGAAGAGGGCTCAGGGTATCCCCTAGTCGGGAGCTCCCGACTAGAACCTCTTACTTGTTTATGTTGCTCATATTATTTGCTTTTATTTCGTAAACTTCATGACTTGGATTACCTGCATACCATACAGATCCTATTTCGTTTATAGCCATTTTGCTTATAGCATGCAATATTAGTTTATTAATTTATTAGGTAGATTTTATTTCAAATAATCAGAATGACGGGATTGGTTTGAGAAACGTTAGTAAGAAGTTCTTCTATCTACTATTTTTTTTAAACGCTTAGACATTTTAGTCCCTGCTATGTTTTACGAAAATTTTGTCGCCAGGTGAATTCTGAATAGCTACTTTTTATTTTTGTTGTAAAAATCTAAGCCCGGCTGTTTTTTTTTCAGTTTTGTTTTATTGTAGTAGACTACGAAAAAACTAGAAACAATAGTTAAGAAAACTAAAAAAAGCAACAGCAGGGCTTCGATTTTTACAACAATAATAAAAAAGTAGTTATTCAGAATTCAGTTATTCCGAATGCACCTGTCGACAAAATGTAACATTCAAAACGGGTAAAAAGGGTATAATGAATTTATGCAAATGTATGTAACAGCCAGAAGGAAGCATCTCCGACCCCATAATGTATGTATATTCCTGATCAGCATCAATAGCCGAGTCGATCTAGCCATGTCCGTGCGTACATATGTATAAACGTATGTATCTCAAAACCTATAGAAATTTGTTTTTTTTTTGTATAGTTATCGACACCCCCCACCACCTCCTCAAATAAATAAAACACAATATTAATGTTGTTTTCTTTTTTAGAATAAACGAATATTCTATAGCACAATTAGATCAACTGCTGAAAATTTCATCAAGATCTGTTAAGAAACACAGAAGTTATTAAAGAAAACATGTTTTGGCTGGCCTTGAGTTTGGGGCAGCTAGCGCAAATTGCAATAATTTATGTATACAGGCACACATACACATTCATACGCTTATTTTTGTAATTTATCAACAGCATTGCAATTGCGATTGTAATGTTTTCTGTGCTGATATTTTAGTTCGTTTTTGAGACTCATTATTGGAGTGGATATTGAGGAGCGGCGGCGGCAAGTAGTGCGGTCTGTTGCGAGTTCGAACCCTACCGAGGAAGCTATTTTATTTATTTTTATTACTACTTCAACAATTGAGCGCTTAGCTCGAGCTGCACTTGGTGTTGGAAGAAAAGTGTTCAGGGTATCCCTTAGTCGGGAGCTCCCGACTAGAACCTCTAGAACCTCTTAATTTGTTTTAATTTGAACTTCTTCAACAGACAATTGCCTTAAGGGTTTGAAGATATGTGGGAATTGTGAAGCTCATAAATGATGAGTATTTTTTTTTTTGTTTCCATTTTTATTTACGATCTACCTCTTCGATAATAAGTAAATTGTGTGGTGTGGATATTTACATGTGGTTTTTGTGTGGATTGGCACTGGTATTTTAAACGATCTCACCACTCTTTAGGCGGCCTAAAAGGCAGGCCGAGTGGATGGTGTCTTTTAAGGCGTCGGGGATGCAAGTTGTTGTCGAGAAGGTTCTTTGCAAAGTGATTGCAGTGGTTGTCCAGTCGGTCTGCGTGCTTCAGGCTTATTCGTTTCACTTCTTCGGTGGCGGATGGGATTTTGAGGTCATTGTGTATTACACTGTTTTTAAAGTAATAGGGGGCCTTAACCAGCCTGTGCAGAGTTTTATTTTGAAATCCTTGCAGGATTTCAATGTTGGAATTTGAGTCCGTGCCCCACAGCTGAATCCCATATGTCCAAATTGGCTTCAGAATGACCTTGTACAAAAGAACTTTGTTTCTCAAGTTAAGCTGCGACCTGTACCCAAGTAGCCAGTTCATCTGCCGGAGTTTCAGGTTGAGCTGCTTTCTTTTGGTTTTTATGTGGGTTGACCACGTCAATCTCCTGTCAAGGGTTGGGCAAAGATACTTTACTGTGTTTTCCGTTGGCAGCGTGGTGCCGTTTAGGTTAACAGGAGGGCAGGTTTTTCGTCTTGTGTCGAATGTTATGTGTGTGGACTTGGCTTCATTGACCACAATAATCCATTTTTGGAGCCATGGTTCGAGGCTTGACAGCTGTGCTTGCTGGATGACAGAGGCTTCAGCATGATCCGTTGACGAAGCTACAAATGCAGTGTTATCTGCATAGGTGGCGATGAGCAGATCATCTCTGTCGATAACAGGAAGGTCAGCAGTGTACAGGGTGTATAGGACTGGGCCCAACACACTTCCTTGTGGGATACCGGCATTGATTTGGTATATTTCGGATTCGGCCCATTCGCTTCTCACGTAGAACGTCCTCCTATGAAGGTATGACCTTAGCGTTAAATAAAACGGCGCTGGAAGTAGGAGCTTTAGCTTGTGCAGCAATCCTGGATGCCACACTCGGTCAAAGACCTGTTTTATATCGAGAAAGGCCCTAATTGATGATCAGCTATCAAGTTTCCGTCTTCCAGCAGTGGCAATAGTCTGACCAAAAATAATCTTTCTAATACTTTCGGCAGTATTGCTAACAAGCTGATGGACGGTAGGAGGCAGGATCTTGTTCAGGCTTCCCAGGTTTATGTATCATTATAATTTCCGCACACTTCCATTGTGAAGGAAAGTGTTGGAGTGGTCGTAGCCAGGACTTTTAGCTGTTTTTAAACTTGACACTACATTCTTAACTTCTTCTGCTTGTATGGGTCGTATCGGCAAGTCCATTTGGCAAGGTGCATCTACAAACAGCTGTGTGGCTGTTACATCCGAGGCAGAACATATGTTGAAGGGTGTGAAAATTCTC